CATCTTTTCCTCACCTGCCTCCGTTCCACTCCGCTTCGTTGTTTTCCGGCCAGGTCATTCGCATGATCGAAAATGGTCGCACCCTGCTGGTGGTGCCGATGTCAGTACAATTGCATGCACTCGTAAATATTCTTTTTTTGTTGTTTTACATTACGGTGGCGAATCACCGATGCATTTCAATTACATCTAGGTGGTTACTGTCACTAAAGGACAAAATGTAAAAGTTGGGCTTGTGGGAAAACGATGCACTACTTCAGTCTACCACTTTAAGGCTATACACATATTCATACAGCAGCTACTGAGTCCAGTGAAGATGGGTTTCAGCTAATAGTTATGACAGTGTCTAAACACACACATATATATATATATAGTGTGCAATTGTAAAATAATGCACAGGCTACACAACTTTTATCATAGCTTTTATATGACCACAAGGTACTTTAAAAGAAGTACACATTTTAAATGTTAAATTATCCTTTATTTCACAAAATATACAAAGAGTGCAAAAAACTCTAAATCAAATCTCATGAGCTAAGTCACTCATGACAGCCAGGCCTGCTTTCACAGCACGATGGACAGGTAGTCACAAGCCTGAAGAAGCAAGAGAAATCAACATTAAACTTGTAATGCAAAGAAAGATTTCTATTAGAAATAACCACAAAGATCTGTGCTTACCAATATTAGACTAGCTAACTGAATATTATGCCTGGATGACTGTGCCATACCTTGCAGCTTATCATCAGGTTGGGAGAGCTGTCTGTGTTTGGGGCTACAGAGAAAACGGGATTGTGAAGACAGTGCTCCATGTGCTCTGACACCCTGGACTCCAGAAGATGGCGCAGGACATCAGGGGTAATGTTCTTTTTCTAAAGATAAGGTGTAAAACTATTTTAGTTTTCCCTTCACTCTTCACAGACTCTCAACAAAGAGCGAATATGAATGGATGAAGGAGTATCATTATTCCAGGGATATAAGAATCAAGTTCACAGACCATTCTGTCTCAGTCTTACTTCTGTTTGGGGGACACTCATACCTGTGGAAACACAGATGAGAACAGCAAGTGACACAGTATTGTGCTGTGGGGTGCTCTTTGAACTACCTTTTAGCCTACATTTGTTTACATTTTGGCAAATTTGTACCATTAGAGGTATGCAGAATTAGCTATTAGCAGTTGCTGTTTGAAATGTTCCCATTGTTCTAAAAACAGCTATCAGAGGATGACTTTGATACTGAAGAAAACTTAAAATGCTTCTCAGGTGAGTTCTCACATTATAAGGAGTTTTTTTTTATTACAATTCTAAGCAGATTTATGGAAGTTATGGGGCAGTGGACATCATAGATGATGACATCACTGTAAAGTAGGAGTGTAACAATGTACTGTAGAACAATATATCACAATTCAAAAATGTGACAATATGCTTCATGAAACTGAAAAATGGATCACAATATCAAGTCAAGGTTCTTATGCAATTTATTCATGTTCCTACAGGAGGGGCAATTAGGCCAGATCTGTTGTCTTAACCAACCTGTTGTTGACCTTGATGTCCACTAGGGTTAGCATTAGCCACAATCTAATCTAACTCCACTGTAATCTACAGAAAAAGGGAAATGTGAGAATCCACGTTAAGTGTGATGAAAACTGTCAGATGGTTAGCATCACCAGGAGCGTTGGTGATGAGGCGCCCAATAGCTTATAAGATGTACACAGACAGTAGTGTAAATGACCATTGTCTATGTACATGTATACATCATGTTATATGTCTAACTAATAGCTCCCAGCTTTTACAGTTACTTCCATCAGCGTAAAAATGTGTCAATGTATAGTGTGCACATTAACTTCATGTTAACTAGCTAGTTAACATTGGATTACAAGGCAGCAAAGCTGTGCACTTTTAGATGTTTAACTTTCATTAAATTAAAGATTAAGACTACTAGATTTCACCTAATCACCTGTAGCCATTTCTTTTTCTCCTTTCCATTGTCAGGAAAGTGGTAAAATGACAGCTGACCTGTGATTTTTGATTCAGAAGCAACGGGGAACTGTTGATGTGTGTGATTTGCATTTGGGCACCAAGGTCAACACAGCTTGGCAAAGGCAACACACAAACCTTAGTGTTGATGTACAGTCCACAGGAGCAGGAGATGAAATAGCTGTTGATGTCCAAGTTGCTCCTACAAGACACAAAAACCACATAGATAGAAATATGAGAAATCAACTGCTTATATCAGTATCTTTTGCAAGAGCAGGCAATTTTTTGACTCACGTGTGACATAAGGGGCAAATAACATGCATCTCCTCCATCCCTTTCACCGCAGCCAATATATACTGCTGTTCAAACTGCAAGTTCCTCTCATACTCTTCAATAATAGACATTTCTGAAACAGACGGGAACAAAACAACTTTAGTTAGAGCTCAAAAGAACAGAATCACACATCCTTGTACCCAGTGCATCTACAGAAGGCTCTTGTCACAGCCGTTTCCATTTATTTCACTCAACATTCGAGAAGCTTGTTTACAGAAATATATCAGGCTACCTTGAGACATGAGTTCCTGCTGGATTTCTTCAAGAACTGCCAGCTCATCATATTCCTTTGTAACGCCGACCATCTGCTTGTAAGAAAAGAAAGAGGACATTCAACTGGTTATTAAACTCTAAATAGAGAGTTATGGGTTGGGGGAAAACAGCCAGTTCAGCTCTTTGAAACAGCTACATACAACAACATTTTGGTCTTTCATTGAGCCATCCATTATTGAATACAATTAAGGTCCTCCTTAATTCATGTAAAGAAAAACTACTTTTTGAATATCTGCAATAACGTTTTATTATAGGTTCAGTGGTATGTGAAGATAAAGCTCTGACAGGACACATAACATCTGACAGGACTAAAAGTAACGCAGGAGGAGACTTGGAGAAAGTCAGAAAGCCACCAGAGAGGGGTGGACAGAGACCGTGACCTATGAGGACCTTGGGACGCATGGTAAAGAACAGAAAGATAAAGACTGAGATTAATGAGAGACACCGACCTCTGCCGTGAACTCTGGCCCCCACAGAGGGGGCAGTCTCCGGTCCTCTGACTGCAGGGCGTTCCACTCCTCTTCCATCACCTCCTGGACGATGGTGGAGGCCCCACAGCCGCTGCGCTGCTCGCCGTCTCCCATCTGACGGTATCTCTCCAGCAGCCTCGACCGGCTGTTTTTCAGTCTGTCAACACAGCGCTGTTAACGAATAAAAGACAACAGCACAATGTTAAACCCCAACTACCAGCGGCGTCCCAACACGCTAGCTAGCAAACTAACAAATTAGCGTTTTATTTCACACCTTGCGGTATGTCTCTTTCCATGGCGGAGTCGTTCCCTTATAAAGTGACCGGTGTCTGTGCGAAGAGTCCATCGCTTGTGCCAATGGCGAATATAAGGCTGCATATACACAAAGACTTGTTCAAACAGATAGCTACAACTGGGAGACACTTCGCCTTCTTCTTCTACTTCTTCTTCGGGGGAAATCGTTATCTTTTTCTTCTTCGTTGTGATTAATGAGGGGTGGCAAACCAACTTTAGATGCATTACCGCCACCTACTGGACTAAAGTGTGGATCATTAAATTAGCAGTTTTAAACAAATTAATATCAATTAATAAAGAGCAATTATTATACCAAAATTATCTGTACAAATCCAGTTTCTTTTAAGTACTTAACTATAATATCACAAAGTTTATTTGATTAACCCTTCCTTAGCATATTTTGCAATGTAATGTCAGGGGTTTTTCACTCCTTAATTCTGATATCAATTCCCTTCTTTGTTTATTATATCTATGACATTCTAGCAATATATGTGCAACTGTTTCTGGAGCACTACAGCATACACACAATCCAGTAGGGTGTTTGCCTATTCTGTGAAGTGACCAATTAAATCCAGTGTAGCCAATTCGCAGATGGGTTTTTATTATCTTCAAGGTTCAGGGTAATGGAAAATGGAAGTCTTACGAATAATGCCTCACAATTTGTTAAGCACAGTACTTAAGTACAGTAGTTAATTTCCACCACTTGATAATTTCTAGTAAATAATCACAGACTGGCGATTCACTCTCCCCAAGGAGCATTCCCTCATAAACACGAGCTCATTGACTGTCAACACATTTATGTGCAGGCGGGATTAGCTTCCACAGTGCCTACTCAAACGCATTCATTAAATCCTTCGAGGACGTCTTCGGCTTCCAGCCTCGATCCTCGTCCTCAGCTGCAGCTCTGACACATCTGCTCGGTTGGTTCAGCACCTCGGACAGCGAACATTGCGATAGGCTGCAGCCCCTCGAGGACCAATGATTTCCGCTGCGCAGCTGTGACAAGGACACCAGCAGCATCCCGGCAGCAGCCAATGACAACGCGCCGCTTTCCTCCCTCATCCAACCCGAATAACTGCAGATGCCCGCATCCAAGCCACATCTCTCTCTCTCTCTATCTCTCTCTCTATCTCTCTCTCTCTCTCTCTCTCTCTCTATCTATCTCTCTCTCTCTCTCTGGCAGGTTTACATAGCTGAGGGTCGCTATAAGCTGCTATCTATTTTTGGAGATCATAGTAGGCATTTTTTTTTCTCTTCGTATTCTCCGGCATTGTGTTGATTAAGGTTTTTAGGTCGAGGCGTGTTGTTTTATTTACGTCTGAAGGAGGTTTGTTCAAGCTGCGAGTAATAGCAGGACATCAACTGCTGTGACCCTATAGATTTTCCGTTCTCAATGGAAGACATCTTCCCATTCGCTGCCAGCGAAGGACTGAAGCACATTTCGCATCTATTTTGCTTGTGTACTCCCATGGACGAGCGAGGAACTTTTTGTAAATGAAGATTTGAAAACAGCATCAGCCCACCGGAAGACAAATCTGTCGGCCTGTACGGCTAGGGTTTATCATCAGGGACCGATCCGATTTTAAGCCCTGGACCCTGGACAGCTCGCGTTGGCGGCGTGGAAACTGAGCAGAACAGGGGGAAGACGTTTTCACATTTTGGCCGCTTTTGTTCAGCAGCAAGGTGGTCAAGGTATGATACATGGATCTCACAAGAAGAGTCCATTAATTAGAAGGTAGGAACACATGGAGGGTTGTTTTGCACATTATGACAGCTCTACAAACGATCAAATATAAAAAACAAAAAAAGTCAAACGACGAGGCCAATAATATAAAACCATCTAAAGCACAGGTGTGTGTGTGTGTCCGCCTTATTTTCATATTCAGATTATTTATGTGGCTCAAACATGGATCACGTCCTGCAATCATCAAAGAGAAAAGCTTTATATTTCTTATGTGTGTGAGCGGACAGGCCTATCAGCTGATCTTTCTAAAGATGCTTTGTGTTAGGGGTTTGGGGGGCTGTTTTCAAGGCTTCCATTTTGAAGCTAAGATGGATGCTTGCTCACATTTCTTTCTTCTGCTTCTGTGGCCTCATCTAGGTTCTTATATAAAACCGAACAGTGGAGCGGCGGTACAGATAGACACCATCAACCAAATCTAACTGCAGACATCAAGGAGATGAAAAGTGAACAGAAATAAAATTTGCTGAGGTCCCTTTTACTAAATTACTGATGGGTGCTCATTTTCACAAACAGAATTCTTTTATGTGGCTACTGAGCTGCACACAAGTGTTGTTTATACATAATGCTGTGAAGTAATGCCAGGAACCTATGTGGCTATAATTTAATTTTGAGTCAGGTTCAGATAAACTTAATAAAACTACTAACTCTCAATGTTTTATTACCAGCTATGTATTAACATTTTACCATAAATCAGCCTTTAAGAATTTCTTTAAAATGCAAGGTTTATTTCTGACCCAAGTAAAACACCAGTGTGAGAGTTTATTCAGGAGCTTGCAAATCACTCAAGGTCCACTTACTAGATATTTGTGGAGCTTTTGAACAACTAAAAACTCCACCACACAGGTTCCTTCTTGGCCATGATAACAGTAAAAAAAACAAAAAAACAACAACAACACAAAGTCGACTTACTAGCATTTTTCAGAGCTTTCGATCTTACCATCTTCCTCAGTGGATTTCTTAAGTTTGCTCCATTGCCATGGTAGCTGGCACACAGTGACAGCACCACAAAAGTAACCAGCAATTATCTCCTTGAAAACTGAGCAAACACCATGAGGAAGACCATGAAATACACTTAAAATCTCAAAAAAGTGAGTGAGGATTTTTCTTTTTGGTGAAATTAAGAAAAATGTAAAATATATAAAAGTATTAAATCACAATAAACATTGTTGGCATTGTTGGTAATTATTAGGTGTTTGTTAATTATTGGTAATTATATTATTAATTTACAGCCACTGCTTCCTGTTTTTCGCTTACAGGTTCAACTTCCTCCAGGAGTGAGACCCTGTGAGCTTGTCCAGACCAGCCAAAGAGGTTTTCTCCACTACCCCCCTCCCCCCAGTGCACCGTTCCTGTATCCCTCTGCTAATCCTCACCAGGCATTATGGGTACGGTGCTGTCACTGTCTCCCAGCTACCGCAAGGCAGCGCTGTTTGAGGATGGCCCTGCTACAGTGGGCCACTACACAGCAGTTCAGAACAGCAAAAATGCCAAGGATGCTGCTGCTCCAGCCGCAAAGTCCCTCAAACGGCCTTCCATCATCAGCGTGTTACCATGGAAACGAATTGTGGCAGTATCAGCAAAGAGGAAGGGCTCCAAGAAGCTGCAGTCAGATGGCGGGGATGGTGGGAAAGGGAGTTCTCCAGAAAGCCACACCACCGCCACAGCCAACTCAGCCTCCAATAGTTTGAAGCTGAAGAAGTCCCAGTCCTGTGCTAACCTTTCATCTTACTCATCCAGTCAGGACCCCTCGGCCACTAGTACCACTACCTCCTCCCACTTGCCCACCTCCAAGACCCTGGCCAACGTAGCTACTGTCGCTGCCAAAAAGAATTCCCTCACTGGCACCGGGATCCAGCCATCTACTGCAGCTGGCACGCCAAAACGTGTCATTGTCCAGGTAATTCCTATTGCACAAAAGTTGTTTCTAAATTATGATTTTTTTTAAAAACATTCTATCGCTATTTAATCACATAACCCCAATCCCTTCCTTGATCCTTTTTGTATTTTCTTCGTTTCCTTACCTTCACTTTCTCCCTTCCTGACCTGTATTCTCTTTTCTCAACCCAGGCCTCCACCAGTGAACTGATGCGCAGCCTGGGTGAGTTCTTGTGCCGTCGGTGTTACCGACTGAAGCGTCTATCCCCGACAGATCCAGTGCTGTGGTTGCGTAGTGTAGACCGATCCCTCCTCCTACAGGGCTGGCAGGATCAGGGCTTCATCACACCGGCTAATGTGGTCTTCCTCTACATGCTGTGCCGCGATGTGGTCTCAGCCGAGGTAGCTTCAGAGCGCGAGCTACAGGCCTCACTGCTCACATGCCTCTACCTGTCCTACTCCTACATGGGCAATGAGATCTCCTACCCGCTGAAGCCCTTCCTGGTAGAGGCAGAGAAGGAAGCCTTCTGGGACCGCTGCCTGGAGATCATCAACCGCATGAGCGGCAAGATGCTCCAGATCAACACCGACCCGCACTTCTTTACCCAGGTGTTTGCTGACCTGAAGAACGAGAGCAAGAAAGAGGAGGAAAAGACCAAACTCCTCATTGGCCTTGATCGATAAGATGGAGCTGGGAGGCAAGAATGAAGGATTAATAGAAAGATTGATGGAGCTCATAGGTGTACTAATGTAATGCCATGTGGCGCTACCTTGGAGCAGTAATGTTGTCTGGCGTCTCTAACTAAATTTTCTTTGTTCACCCAGAACATAAAGCTTCTGGGAACAAACATAACATTTAAATCATTTTAATTTTTTGGTTTAATGAGCCAATTAAAAACTAATAAGCTTTCAGACCAAGGCAGTAACTGATCTGCAGTGTCTCACCAGCAATTCTCTTACAGGGCCTAGTTGCAACAATGCACCAGATAAAATCAGAGTAGCTGTGGTGTTGGCCATGTTATTGGATCTGATTAGATTCCTGACACCGACGAGCTGCTGACATTCATTGTCTGGGTTTGCTCAGCTGAGGATGCAACAAAAACAAGCTTTAAGGCAGAGATATGATCATTAGTTTTTAAGAACAGTGTAGGTAACGACACTGAAAAGGAAGGCTATGCTTTATCAAAAGTCCAGGCCAGCAGGGTTCGTGATATGACATTACAATAACAGGATGTGAGAAAAAGATATGTATCATTTTTATCACTTACCTTTGGCCCAGACTTTGTTTTTGTCTGAATTGTATTTTGTTTGAGTGAGATAAGAAACACAATCTGATTTTCAGTTGGAAACGCCAGACAACAGATTAATGTAATTAAGAGTGAATATTATAAATATAGCGATACAGGATTCTGATACTGTGTGATAGCATCCAGGCATTTTCACTATAGAGAAATGTCCGAGTAATGAAGAACAAGAACAAGAACTACTTTGCATGAGGTCACGTCATACATCCTTGCACATTAATACCTGCTTATTGCCAACTCCACTTGACCTTTTTCCCGTCATCCTGCCCAAGCTTATTGCACTCACCAACATCGGCTGCAAGGTCCACTGTTGAAACGTAAAGTGCATTAACTACTACCATAACACGGTTGAGCTAGAATCAGCCACCACAACTAGTCTACAAAATTGTAGGACTGAAATTGGCATCCCAATTTGGTGTAATTGCACTGTAGTGGATTAGTTCATCTGCATCTTATATAAAGTACTGTACTTTTGAGCAAACATTTGGGTTTATCCAGCCAAATGTGCTTTGAATTGGGAGATTCATTATTTATTTTTTAAGAGTATGAAATGGCAGTTCCTTGGGCACGAATTAATAATCATTAAACATGCCCTACTGTAAGCTGTTTACATTTACAGAAAATGGGAAAATGCAATACTGACCTCTCCAGGGCATAGGTTACTCAAGGAATTATTTCATTCCTTCCTGTTCTCCTGCACTTTCTCTTGCAGTCCTTATTGGTGCTGTCCTGAATGACCACAGGAAAGTGTTTTATTGAAAGAAAGAAACATTGCATTCATATTGTGTGCTTATGAATGATTCGTGGAGCTGCATCATGGAGGACATGTTCAGAGAGCAGATCATGTGATCTGTCTCAACCAGTGGCTATAAATGATGTGATTATATTCTAGGTGTGTGAGGGCAGGGGCAGACATTACAAGTGTAGATGTGACTTCTCTTCCAAAATAATGGTTTCATGTTGCTGTCGCACTTGGCTCAAGAGACTGCTGTTTGAAATGTCCCTCCCACACACACACACACCCCAGCTCCGTCTCGTCTTTTTCCATGCTCATTACTCTCCATAACAACCCAGACAAACTAAAACAACAGATTTCTCTCTCTATCTGTCCACCGCAGTCTGGCCTGGTCCTGTTCTTACTGGTGCGGTGCAGTTCAGTTGTCCCATATTTAGAGACTTTCTGGTCGGCTGACCTGATGGTTTTCTTATTCACTGAGATGTTTGACATGCATGCGTGCTTTTATAGGTTTCCTAGCATGCTGCTTTTGTGTGGGCACATCGCACCGTGTTACAGAAGAGACTGAGCAGTCGTCATGCTGAATCGCTGAAAGCTAGACTCAGTGATGCGACATCTACTTGGCACAAGGACTCTCTAATGACAGAAGTGTGTGAAAAAGTAGTTGTATCCATGCATATGTAGCACATCCACTGATAAAAATCAAGTCCCAGCATTGGTCCTTCATTAGGATTTTCACTATACTTGGTTCCATGGTGCTTAGGGGTCTAAAAGACTCTTTCAAGACTTAATAGTTCTGCCTTTCAGGAGGTAGTTATAGCTCTCCTAAAAAATAAAATAAAATAAAATGAAATAAATTAAATCCAAGCCAGGCTTTGGATCAGTTGGAGTGGATATGAAAAGCATAGCCATAAGGGAGGGGTTCTCAAGGGACTGATCAAAAACACAGTGGTCAAAATCAAAGCACTGCCATTATGCAACTGGATAACATCTGTGGGCAGTGGTGGCCTAAATGTTTAATACCTGGACTAGCAGGATAACGTTTGTGTGGGTCAGGTGACACAGACACCTTTGATAACACCTCTGTGTGAATCCCTTTACCCCTAGCTGCTCAGTGGCTAACAGGTCAGACTCTGGTTGTACTGGGTAGCTTCCAGGTGTTTCAGGGTGAACCTCTGGTCTCACATCTTTAGGGTTATTTTTTAAACTTCTGAAATCTTCTCTAGAGCCTGGGAAGACTTATACAACTGTCATCACAGACTGAGCAGTACTCATGAGCAGTAAACTGACCTCCATGTGTAAAATTATTGAAGTGTCCCCTGAATGACATTTGAAAAGAGTTAACGGTGCCAGGAGATGCCGTATTTATTCAGAAGGAGATGGAGATGCTCCACGTGTTCCCTTTGGTGAGATTTCTTGCCTTGATGATGTCACATCACCAAGTCTAACTGTAGCCAAAAACACTGACTTCAGTTTTTAGAAAAGCTCTGCCTTCTCATGTCATATCACTCTAAAGACTCTTTATTTTGTACAAAAACAACAAAGATGAGCCAACTCAAAGTCTCTGACTGCTGAACAAGAAAGACTATAAAGGAATTTTAATGAATGAGTTTTTTTCTTCTGTGTTGCTACATCATGTATCAGAAATGTAGTCTAGATGTGGCATGTGGCGAAGATATGAATGGCAAAATGGAAAGCTTGTGATTTTAATCCACAGTGAAGTTTTATGTCACTTTGCAAAATGTAAGCCAAAACTGGAGTCATCCAAAGCTGGAGCATTCAGCATTCTGTCCTTGAATTTACAGTGCAATTTCTGAAAAAAAAGTTAATTTGGCCTGCTCTCTTATAAGAAAATAAAATTATAACATCAGTTCCCTATTCAGTAAAAAAAAAACACACACACACAAAAAAAACAAGGAAATCTGAAAATCTTGTGAACAAAACAGAATGTGGTGCCTGTTTCCAGACTGGGTGTCTCTGTGATACAGGTGATGTTTTAACTTTGGTTGTGCTTTATTTTCTGATGATAACCAACTGGGCTGCAGTAGGTACCATGCTGTAAAAACAAAATGTAGCCTTGATCCAGAGTCAGACCTCATGAGACAAATATGCACATGAAAAATGAATCCATTGCAAACAAACTTGTTTCTATGTCCATGCTCCTATGATGGGTTAAGCTGTTGAAAAGTAGCATTTCTCTGGATGGCATTTCCAAGACAGCAGTTTATTATATATATATATATATTTTGTATTTAAAGATCCGAACTCTAAGGTTGGTGCAATCTGAATCATTGTAGGTTAACGGACAGAAGACACATGGCAGTGATACATCTAAATTTATGTTCTTCTACAATACAATCATTAGAATATATCTCCGACTTAGTAGAGGAATGATGAATGTTTATTTTGACATCAAAAAATATTATCTGTTGTGGATTTTTTGTGGTAAATTTTAAGATTTTACTAGCCGTTCTCTAAGCCACACCACGTTTAGTTCGTGTTGCTTCGTTTAACGTTTCGCACTGCACTGTTTACAGTGGTAATGGTGGTGGTTTTATGATTCAAACCTTAGTCATTTTGATTTCAGACACAGGTAGAAAAATACATAGACTGGACCTGTCCAGGGTGTAATATACCTCTGGCCCAATGCTGGTGGGAATTGGTTCCAGCTTCCCTGCAACCTAAGTGGTTTAAATAATGGATGGATTTGTAGAAAAAAAAACAGCTTCTCATTTCTAGGCAGAGACCATCAATGTTGCTGGGTGCCAGGAGAGTTTAATCGGCTGTAGCTAACTGATTAAGCTAATGTTAGCTCAGTGAGCTGAATGAAAATGTTTTCTCTGGCTGAAATGTTATCGCTTTCAGCTAACCTGTTTTAAAATGATGTAAAAGGACTTTTAAATATGCACTTAATGGCAACATACATGATATCCTGCTAAAAGGAGTTAACTGTGTGCACCAGGCAAGACTTTGACATCTTCACTAGCTGATGATCCATGTAGAAGACATGAAACTAAACAAACAGTATTATTCTTATATCGCAGAGATAGGTAGGTAGTCCTACTGCCATGAAATGTTACAGTTTTGAAACTACAACTGAACAATCACAGTGTGGGGGAGGGGGGTAGCAAATGGTACTATTTCTGTTAAATTCAAATGTGAAACCCTCGGTAGAGTGTACACACACCCCGCACACAATCAAAGTATTGTATATTGACTATTCAATAGCATGTGGGTGTCAAAGAACAGTTGCAATGTGTTTCTCTGATGAGATAAAGTTTGTCAACGTTTGTCTCTGTTTTTGCTTCCACCTGCTTTAGTAGTTCCAGCTGTGCAGGAACAATAAAAAAGAGACACAGAAGCAAAGAAAGGAAACATGTTCTCTGAATGAAGAGAGAGAGGTATGGGTTGACTACGCCCCCTCCTACACATGCTTTTACCACTGATCAACTCATAACTATGTGCCATATTTTATCTTGCAACACATACAAGACAAAAACTATTGTGTAACATATTATGCTTATGATAATGATGATGGAGTTATTACCGTTTTCCTTCCTTTTCATTTGTGAATCATTGTGTAATCAAGAATCTTTGTTGAACAAAAGTCAAGGCTACTAGTGTTACTAGAGTTCCAATGCTGCAGTCTGTTACTGTGGATGTATGAATATGTATGTGAGAAGTCAGAATAATTTGATCAACTGTTACAGGTACTTTATATAAAAACTTTTTTGTTTGTTTTGTTGATTTTTGGGTCACATGGTTTCACATACAGATGTTATGACTCTGCACAGACATTTCCTATTCTGGCAGCAGTGAGAGGCTGAAGTGATCTACAGCAGCTGCATGAGAGGCTGCTGAACAATTTGACCCAGGGAAGACGTGGCATTTGAGAGCTCCGACTGGAAGAAACCCCATAGCAGGCAATGCAGTTCTGGTTGGCTGTCTCTCCACAACCGAAAGTGAGACATGGATATAATTCTAGTACTGAAATGTTAATATCATGCGCAGCAGGGAGACAACAGCCCAGGGCAAGTTCAACTGACACCCATCATTGTGCATATTCAAGGGTCATGGGCCACCCCCCAGGACCTGATTGGCCACCCCTGGTCACAAATATAATATAATATAATTTGTATTAGCCTACTATCTAGCTAACATTACTACACAGTAGTTGTTATGAGTACTGATATAATTGTGTGTCATGGTTGGTTGCTGATTTTCTGTTTTTGAGAGACTTCCTGTCTCTTGCTATCCTACTGGCTTCACCTTTATGCAGCAAATTTGTCACTTAATTGTCAGCACCTGTGCTGCATTTAAAACCTGCTCTGCCCTTCTAGTCAGTGCCAGGCTGTGCTTTGAAGCATGCAGTGGCTCCTGGCTCTCTGAGCTGTTCTCACACCTGAAGTTGCTACCTGAGCCTCTCACCTGTCTCGAATAATTTGGTCTGTAAGTCTGCCTCAGACTATCTTATTTAAATTAGCAGCTCAGTTTTTCTAGATTGAAGATTGTTCTGTTTGGTGACAGACCTGCGACCTACTGTTGTCAGTGGACCTTGAGTTGATAGTTTGAACAGAGCTCTGTTTTTCTGCCTTCATTGTGTGCACTCTTCAGTAATGTGCTTAGGCCACTTACTCACATGGAGGGTTTTGTTTTTGTTTTTTTGAAGGATTGTGTAGTTCCCCCGTGTCATATACTCACCTGGATTTCCTGCAGTTGGTAATTGTCCTCCCCGTGGAACAACGCAGAGGAAAACCATTATTTGTGTCTTACTTACCTTGTTGCTCTGGTTGAGCCTTACTGTGTCGCTGTCCATGGTGCTGAACCCGCTTCAAGGTCGGTGTGGGCGGGGCTGCAGTTGAATCCTCTTCTTTGTGTTCAGTTGCCCATTAACATTCCTCCTAAACTTGATGTCTGCAATGTTCCGTTGTCGGTTTTATATTCCGTTTGGGTGCTTATGCTTTTTTTTTTTCTGGTCTCAGCAGGATTTTATCACCGAGGTGTCTCGCTAGCGTTGTCCGCGCTGCTGAAGCAGCGAGATGTGCCACATAGTGATATTTACCGAAATAAAAGACGGGTTACTGAATCTTAGGGAGGAAATAACAGATCTCAGATTTATAGTTTCACTTATTAAATTCAAGTTCAGATATATCAGCATAACCACATATACAGTCTCACGCTTAAACTCTCAATGAAAAACGAGAGTAGTCAGATGCCAAGTTTGCCCAGGTGCATCATTAACCACAACTGGTCAATTTTGGACTCTATTTTGCCCACTTCTGTCTGTCTGCGCCTTTATTTCTGGCGACAGAGGATCATGGAGATGCAAAAAGAGGTGATCCTCCTCAACCACACGCGAGCTAATGGTGGCATCCCCGTCAGCACGCTTCCGCTTTAATGAGCCAATCAGAGTGCCGTGCGCTGCAGCTTATAACCCCGTCTGCTACCGAGCCTTTCCGCTCACCGTACCCGCTGTCCTATGAGTCACTCATCCAAGCTGCATCCCTGATCTACCGCAACCGTGAAGATGGCGACCCGGGTAAGATATATGTGTTTTATTTATTCTTTAAAAACCAAACGCTCACGTGTTTTTGTAGGGAA